GGAATCTCCAGTGATGAGTCTTTTGTATGCTAATGACATGATTGGTGCCAGGGGCTCCCAGATAGCAGGAGGGAGGTAATAGTGGCACTGGTACCAAGAATGGCCAAGACGTGATTAGGGTGTAGGGATTTTCAGCCCCACCCCCAACCTCTGGGGAGAGGAGAGGGGCTGAGGTTGAGTTGATCACTGATGGCCAATGCTGTAATCAATGGTGCCTACTACTGAAGCCTCTATAAACACCTAAAGGACTGGGTTCAGGCTTCCTTTTTTTTTTTTTTTTTTTTTTAGGAGGAGTTTCACTCTTGTCACCCAGGCTGGAGTGCAATGGCGCAATCTCGGCTCACCGCAACCTCCGCCTCCTGGGTTCAGGCAATTCTCCTGCCTCAACCTCCTGAGTCGCTGGGATTACAGGCACGCGCCACCATGCCCAGCTAATTTTTTGTATTTTTAGTAGAGACGGGGTTTCACCATGTTGACCAGGATGGTCTCAATCTCTTGACCTCGTGATCCACCCGCCTCGGCCTCCCAAAGTGCTGGGATTACAGGCTTGAGCGGGTTCAGGCTTCCTAATAGCTGAACACGTGAAAATTCCTGAATGGTGGCACACCCAGAGAGGGTCCCAGTAAGTTCAATGCTCCTCCCCATATGCCTGGCCCTATGCATCTCCTCTACCTGGCTTTTCATTTACACCCTTTATAATACATAAGTAAATGTGAATGAAGTGTTTCGAGTTCTGTGAGCTGCTCTAGTACCTGAGAAGGCAGTCATGTGAACCCTGACTTATAGCTGGCTGGTGGGAAGCACAGGTCACATGCCTGGAGCTTGTGACTGGCATCTGAAGTGGGGGCAGACTTATGGGGCTGAGCCTTTCACCTGTGGGATCTGAGGCTACCTCCGGAAAGACAATATTAGAATTGAATTGAATTTGAAGACACACAGTTGGTGTCTGCTGGAGAATCTGGTGTCAGAAGCATTGTTCTGAATTTGAGAGGACCCTTAGCAAGGCCCCACATGATCCCTCCCTCATGACTGGTTTTGTTACTCTCCTCTGATTTATTCTGCTCTGGCCACGCTGGCCTGTGAGCTGTCCTGGAACACCTGTAGGACCACCCTGCACCACTGGCATCTGCATGGTAACTTCCTCAGGGTGAAGTATTCTCTAGCTATCCATGTCGCTTATGCCCTCATCTTCTTTGATGTTTCTCTCAAATACCTCTTCTTATAGAAGCTTACCTGATTGCTTCATTTAAAACTGAAATCTGCCCTTCCTAACCCCCTCCATGCAACCTGTGCAGCTTTATTCTTCCCACAATGATATGGGGTACTTCACGGCAAGGTTTAGAAAACATTTGTTTCTTTTAATTCAGTTGCAGTTTCTTAAAAGTCCCTTATGGTATCTGGGTTTTGGTGACTTACCTGTGAGGGAGTGAGGAGTACTGTGTTTACCTCCTGGCTTCATCGCAAACTGAGTGTCCCAGACAATGCACTGATGCTCTGAGGCTGAATATCTTTAATGCTTTAAAATGAGTCATACATGGACGACTATGGAAACCCTTCGCAAGCCATGATGCTGGGATTCTGTGAGGTTGGGGTAAACTCAACAGTGCCACACGTGTGACGGCAGTGAAGTATCTGTAGAGTGGAGAAGGGACTGGAGACTATTTTGGGATTGTGGGGACAGAATCTCCACCCTCTGCCTGATGACCCCTACCCCAGCCTTTCCTTTACAAGCTCTGGAGTGCAGAGCCCCTTCCAGAGCAGCCTGCCCCCGGGCCTCCTCAGCTTACTTTACTCTTTTCAAAGCTGGTCCAAACCTCCCACAGTCACCCTGTCTGTGGGGGCTGCTGGAGGGGGTGTTACCTGCAAGTTTGGCTCATTCTGGGAAGGAAGATCAAGGACTGGTTCTGACCATACAAACCGAGGATCTATTTCTTTCTAGACACTTTGGTGGGTGTTCTAAAGCTCTGTGAGAGGACAAAAATGAGAAGTGCTCTCTCCCAGGTTAAGACTCCTGTTTCCAGAGATTCTCTGCTTCCTACCTCGTAAAAGTCGCTTCGTTCCAAGAAAGCTGGGATTTGGGACCAGACAGCAAATGATTTCTAGGATCACACACTTGACTCTAGGAAAGTCAGACTTAAAACATAACCAGCCTGCCAGAGTAGAAGGGCCAGGAGCCTCAAGGGGCACTAGAAATCCCATGGTATGTTTGTCGTATGGCGAGATTCCACCCAGAATCACTTGGAATTTTACTCCTGGGCATTTGGACACAGTTCAGTCTGAATGCTGTGACAAATACAGCGGTGGCTTTAAGACACATCTGATACTGGAAAGAATCTGAGACTGGGAGTAAAACCCCTGTTTTTGAATGTAAGCACCACCACCAGCTAGCCTATGACCTGAGCATGCCATTTCACGAGACTGAGCCTCAGCTTGCTTACATTTTAGCCAATGCATTATTTTTTTTTAAATGCAAAGAGTTATAGCTGCCTCAGAGGATGGCTGTGAGGTTTACCAGCCACCCCCAGCAAAAGGGACAGCAGCTATCACTTATCCTTAGTGATGATCCATAGCTGCGTGCTGTACAGGTGCCATTTCTCAGAACACCATGTCAGTATTAATGTCTTCATTTCCAAATAAGAAACCTCTCACTCAGGCTGCTTCCCGCCCCGGCTTCCAGGAGACAGAGCTGGAATTTCCCCGGGTCTGTTTAGCTCCAGGGCTCGGGGTCTCGCCGCGGACCCAGCACGCGGGTTTTCGGGCACGTTCGCCGTCGGCTTTTATACGCGAGCGTTCCTCTCCGCCCTCCCGCCCGGCCCTGGCCCCGGCCCCGGCCCCGGCCCCGGCCCCGCGCGCAGCGGCCCGCACCGAGCACCTGCTCCCGACCGGCGCGCAGCCCCCACCTCCCCGCGGGAGCCCGCGGCCGTCTCAGCCCTCAACCCCGCGCCAGGAGGGAGCGCTTCGGGGGTTTCCCGGACTTCCCGCCCGGCCCATCCTGGGTGGTCCCCAGGACTCACAGATCCCGCGTCCCTCCGCCTTCGAATCCCGGTGCCAACACGCCGCACCCGCGTGGACACACTTGCAAACACGAGAGACGCGGAGACGGCTGCGGAGTTAGACGTGCGCATGCGCAGAAGCAGCCGCGAGGCCGTGTTCAGAACGCTGTGCGCGCGCCCACGCTATTCAAGACTACGTTCCCTCGGAGGCGGAGGGGTGGGGGGGAATTGGGGAGAGATAGCATGGGGAGAAATGCCAGATATAGGTGAAGGGGAGGAAGGCAGCAAATCACACTGCCACGTGTGTACCTATACAACAATCTTGCATGTTCTCCACATGTACCCCAAAACCAAAAATGCAATTAAAAAAAAAAAAGAAAGCCAATAAAGTAAACAAACAACAAAACAAGCTTAAAATGGGCTGGGGGCCATGGCTCACACCTGTAACCCCAGTGCTTTGGGAGCTAAGGTCGGAGGATCGCTTGAGGTCCGGAGTGCAAGAGCAGCCTGGGCAACATAACAAGACTCTGTCGCTACCAAAAGAAAATTTAAAAAAAAATAGTTTGTGCCATTATGGAAGGAGAGAGTTGTATTTTCTAAGGTATCAGAATGATGTAGATTAGAATACCTGAATAAAAGTGACATGAAAAATTTTAAAGGAAGATTTATGAAAAGGTTTTGTCACATTTCTGTAGTATTATTTTTTTTGTCATGTAGACAGTAAGTGCAATAAGAGGTAAGGATGGAAAAGGGAATGGGGGGCTTGCTGGTCAGAAAGGCTTCCAGGAGAAGAGCGGGCTGGAAAAAAAAAGACTACATTTCCCATGAACACCCGCGCCCCAGTGGGCGGTGACCTTTCCAGCTCTTTTGCGCTTTTGTACACCTTCAAGGAGGAATATTTTATTTAAAAAGAGAAAAAATTGAGTTATTTTAAAATGTGAATGTTTTAAAAAGGTAGGAAATGGTGTGTAGAAATGTTCTGGATTTAAGGAGACTGAAAAGACGTGAACAAAATACAACACCTGATCTTAGACTAGTATAGAATGAAAAAATGCTGTAAAAAGGACATTATTAAGTCATTTGACAAAACTAGAATGCTAACAGTATGATAAATAGAAGTATGGAATCAATGTTAAAATTGCCAAAACTGTTAGCATCTATATGGTTATGGAAGAGAATATTGTGGTTCTGCATACTGAGTAGGCGTAACGCCGTGACTTACGCACTCACATAAGGCCAGAACAGAGCCATGTATGTGTCTAGATATGTGTCTAGATGTCAGGTGTGTATACACATGCTGCCGGTTAGATAGAGACTGAACAAATGTTAAATAATGCAAACGAGGCAAAATATTAACAATAGGTGAATCTGGGTATTCATTATACCATTTTTTTTTTTTTTTTGCAACTTTTCTGTGAGTTTGAAATGATTTCAAATAAGAAACTTAAACAAGACGAGAGTTCCCCTAGATTGTATTCTCTCAGGGTCACTGCAATGTCAATGTTGCAAATAGCAGTAACCAATACCAGGCTTTCTCTGCTGCCTGAATTCCAGCCTGTAGTTGACTTCTTTAACCTTCCCTGGCTTATTAGAGATTGGGGAGACAATTCTATCTCATGCTAAGAAATCGCTGTCAGTCTTTCAGATTTCTCCAAACATAAAACATAAAACTCTCAGGATCTATAGATCTATATGTCAGCTCAGCATACAGCATCAAGGCCGAGTTTTTGGATGCATTGTAGACAAAGAATTTTTCTGCATTTTAAAAATGGTTGGAAGACATTATCTACTTATCAGGGTGAGAGGGGGAGAGCGAGACTCCGAGCGTGTGGGTGAGGGAGCTCCGCGGGGGACAGAGATGGGGGCCAGGACGACGGCTGGGGCGCCGGGGTCACCAGCTCCTTGCCCACTTCCCTCCCTGTGGGAGAAGAGGAGGAGGGGAAGTGACTGTGGAGTTGATGAACTTTGCACATCCAGAAACGCCATTCTGATTCCTTTTCCGGAACAAGTTTGCATCTCTCCTCGGTCTCTCCCTGAAGCCCACCGGTCCCCAATGCATCATGTCCGGGAGCCAAGCGCCTTGCCTGGCCATTGCTGCAACTGTGTGCTCCGGGACTGGTGGCTCTGAGGTGTGACCCTGCCCACATTTGGGTCCAGCCAGGTTCAGCCCCCTCAGTAAGGAGGGCAGTTTGATAACACAAAGAAAACAGTGTCAACGAGTGCTACCAAGAGCAGAAGAAAAGAGGTCAACACAGACTCATTTCCTACTCCAAGGGGGAAATTTCATAGTCTATCAGTTGGGTCAGAAAATGGAGTTTTATGGCAGAGGCTTCTTAGAAGCTTAAACGCCTGTCCCAATGACGTCAAGTTCACCTGTTGGCTTGGAAGGTTCAGACCTGTCTTCCATCAACACCATGATGTCGGCGGTCATGAGTGTAGGGAAGGTCACAGAGAATGGCAGGAACCCCCAGGGCATCAAGTCCCCCTCGAAGCCTCCAGGACCAAATCTGATTGTCAGAAGGAACCAGGAAACGAAAGAGGAGAAGTATTCCTATAACTGCCCCCTATGTGAGAAGATTTGCACTACCCAGCACCAGCTGACCATGCACATTCGCCAGCACAACACAGACACTGGAGGAGCTGACCACTCCTGCAGCATCTGCGGGAAGTCACTGAGCTCGGCCAGCTCCCTCGATCGCCACATGCTGGTGCACTCTGGCTAGAGGCCATACAAGTGCACAGTGTGCGGTCATTTACCACCAATGGGAACATGCACAGACATATGAAGATCCATGAGAAGGACCCTAACAGTGCCACAGCCACAGCCCCTCCATCCCCTCTGAAGCGTAGGTGACTTTCCTCCAAGAGGAAACTGAGTCATGATGCCGAGTCAGAGAGAGAAGACCCAGCACCAGCTAAAAACATGGTAGAAGATGGGCAGTCAGGTAACTTGGAGAAGAAAGCTGATGAAGTCTTTCACTGCCCATTATGTTTCAAGGAGTTCGTTTGCAAATATGGACTGGAGACCCACATGGAGACACATTCAGATAACCCACTAAGATGTGACATTTGCTGCATCACCTTTCGAACACATTGAGGGTTGCTCCATCACAACATGCTTTTCCACAAACAACTTCCCAGGGATGCAATGGGCAGAGCTTTCATTCAGAACAACCCTTCAATTCCCGCTGGTTTCCAGGACTTAGGATTTATAGATTTCCCCTGTAGGAAGTTTCCTCGAATTTCTCAGGTCTGGTGCGAAACAAACTTGCGGAGGTGCATCAGCGAGCAGCACCGTTTTGTCTGCGACACTTGTGACAAGGCATTTCCCATGCTCTGCTCACTGGTGCTGCATAAGCAGACCCACGTGACCACAGACCAGGGTCAAGAAAAGCTGCAGGCCATGACCCTGCCTGGTGAGGCCCTGGAGCAGAAGGGCTTCCTGGCCTTGCTGGGCCTGCAGCAAACCAAAGACGTGAGGCCTGCCCCCACCGAGGAGCCTCTGCTGGATGACAACCAGGCAATCCAGCTCCAGACACTCGAGTGTCAGCTACCTCAGGACCCTGGCTGCACCAACATACTGAGCCTGTCTCCTTTTGAAGCTGCTTCTCTAGGCGGTTCTCTCACAGTTCTCCCCGTGACCGAGGAGAGCATAAAGCACCTGTCCCTGCAGCCCTTCCAGAAGGGCTTCATCATCCAGCCTGACAGCAGCATTGTGGTCAAGCCAACTTCTGGTGAGTCTGCGATGGAGCCAGTGGCCATCCAGCAGATTCTGAAGATGGCGGCCTGGGGTCCCCCTCAAATCAGTCTTCCGCCCTTCTCCAAGGCCCCTGCCACCCCAATGCAGGTGATCTTCAAGCACATGCCCCCTCTGAAGCCAAAGCCCCTGGTCACACCAAGGACGGTGGTGGCCACCTCCACGCCCCTGCCTCTCATCAACGCCCAGCAGGCCTCCCCCAACTGTATCAGCCCTAGCCTGCTGCCACCGCCCCTGAAGCTCCTCAGGGGCTCAGTGGAGGCGGCCTCCAACGCCCACCTGCTGCAGGCCAAGTCCGGGACCCAGCCCAACAAGGCCACGTGGCTCTCCCTGCAGCAGCCGCGGGCAGAGCTGCCCGGCCAGCCCGAGATGAAGACTCAGCTGGAACAGGACAGCAACATCGAGGCCCTGCTGCCGCTGAGCATGGAGGCCAAGATCAAGCAGGAGATCACCGAGGGGGAGCTCAAGGCCTTCATGACAGCGCCCAGTGGCAAGAAGGCACCTGCCATGCGCAAGGTGCTCTACCCCTGCCGCTTCTGCAACCGGGTGTTTGCCTTCTCAGAGGTGTTGCGCGCCCACGTGCGCTCCCACCTGGGCATCTCGCAGTACCAAAGCAACATCTGCGACTACATTGCTGCCGGCAAGGCCGCGCTCATCCGCCACCTGCGCACGCACAGCAGGGAGCGGCCCTCCATCTGCAAGATCTGCCGCTACCCCTTCACTGTCAAGGCCAACTGCGAGAGGCACCTGCGCAAGAAGCACCTCAAGGCCACCCGCAAGGACATCGAGAAGAACATTTTGAGTACGTCAGTAGCAGTGCGGCCGAGCTGGTGGATGCCTTCTGCGCCCCAGACACCGTGTGCCGGCTATGCGGAGAAGACCTCAAGCACTACGGCACCCTGCGCATCCACATGCGCACGCACGGCTGCCATGGCCTAGGTGGGGGCCACAAGGGCTGCAAGCCCTTTGAGTGCAAGGAGTGCAACGCCGCGTTCACGGCCAAGCGCAACTGCATCCGCCACATCCTCAAGCAGCACCTGCATGTGCCAGCAACCACATGGCCGTCGCCCGGAACCGGAAGGAGGGCTTGGCCAATGCCACCAAGGACTGCAGCCACAGGGAGGAGAAGGTCACAGCAGGGCGGGCATCCGAGCCTGGCTGGGGTGACCTTAACCCAGAGAGCCCTGCGTCCCCGGGGCAGGACCTGCTGGAGCCCTGCAGCAAGAGGCCCGGCCACCCCATTCTGGCCACGGTTGACTCTGACGGTGCCTCGCAGCTCCTGGGGATGGAATGACAGCCTCAGTCCCCCTCAACACAGACAAAAGCCAGCAGAGAAAAGCGTTGCAAGTCTATACTTCATGGAGTTTCCTCAGTGCCCTTGGCTGTTGGGGATTGAGAGAGAGTGAGTGCGAGAGACAAGCAGGAGCGTGGCCGCTGCTCAGTGCCACAGCCTTACCGCAGCCTGCGTGGGAGGCCCCAGCCCCTGCGGATTCCAGTGCCTTCACTACTTGCCGGATCCATATCATCATGGGTGTTATATTTTTCCAAAATGACTTCTTAAGACAAATACTGTAATGAATTGTCTGGAGAGGACCTCTTCCTTTGAGCATTAGCGTTATTTTGTATTGGTGTGTGTGAGCTTGTTCTTGTGAATCTGTGATAGCACCGTTTGTTCTGGGAGCTGGAAACAGAAGGAAAAAACATACCCTTGGGTACCCATAGCCAATAATTGGAAGAAAATTATGTGAATTTCATGTAAATAACCAGAGGAGAGATGGATAAGATGATAATTTCTCAAATAGACATTTTCCTTTTTTTCTGTGTGCTTCATGGTGGAGTTGTCATCTGGTCCTTGGTATTACAGGATGTGGTTGATGAAAGTTTCCAATGTGGTTTCAAGCCAAAACCAGGAAAGAGTCTAGCTTCAGCCTCCTGTCTGTTTCCACTCTGTCAGCATTAGACATGGTCACTGTTCAAGTTTCAAGATATCCATTCTTAACTACAGAAAAGAGTTACTCCCCTGGCAACTTAACCTATGGAAAACATGCACAGATAGCATATATTTGATTGTCCCCTTTCCCTTTCAGTATGTGTATTATTAATTTTATTATTATTAGTTCATCAGTTTGCTGGTCTCTGCAGTCAGCAGAATCAAATGGGCAATATTTGTCCTGGGAGACCTGTGTGGCACCCAGGTCCCTGAGCTAACGTGTGCCTGTGGCTGCGGTTGGCACCTTCGGGTGGTAGCTCTTCTACTGTACTGAGACAAGCCTTTCTTCTGTTACTGCGGAATTTGGCCATGAGCAGTCTTCCCAAGCATGGCCCAGAAGCAGCTCAGACAGGGTGTAGTGAGGATGTGTGTATCCAGGGAACGGGCATCGAGAAGCCAGGGTTGTGCCCGGAGCATTGCAGAGATGGCTTTGGAGAAAGCAAAGCAGTGACCAGTGACCAGGCACGTTACTCATGAGCGAGGTATTCCCAGTCTTCCCGCTAAGCCTAATCCAAGGCTTCCCCAGCTGTGCTACTGTCATTTGCAAAGCGAGGAAATACTACTACTGGTAATAAAACTACACACGCAAGATGTCAGATGAGAAATAGGTTTATATTTACTTTCCTGAGATGTGGGGTTGGTGCTTGAAGATAAATGTGCTGTTTCTAGTTTCTTAAATAGCCCAAACCCCTGGGTGCAAAAAAGCAGGACTCTTTTTACTCATGAGCATCCTATGCAGGCAATAGACTTCCCTTACTGTCACTGCCCACAGGGAGGAGAATATAGCCCACTGCAACTGAGCTTCTGGTCTCTCAGCCAAGACCTCGGGATGGCGGGAGCCCAGTCAGCCTGCTGCCAGGAACTCCTGGCTTGCTGCAGCACGTGGAGCCCCTTGCCTTTCCCTATGGAGGCACCCCTGCGCCCTAGCTTCCTTCCCCAGGCCTTTTCTGGCCCCACATGCTCCTCCTTTTCTTAGACTTGTTCTCACAGAAACATACACACCCCTTTCTCTCCACCACCTCACCAATTTCTGAAATCCAACCTCCCAGACTTCAAGGGAAGATAGATATTCTTGAGATAATGAAAAGTGATATCTTCGCATATGGAAGGGAAAAAGGTTGCGGTATATATGACTTTTAACTGTATTAGGGATGTATGAACCAGTTTAAAAACAAGGTTTTATTTAATTTAGAGATGAATGGAAATCAGAACCAATGATATCTTGGTCTACTTAGTTAAAACCAGTTCATACATCCCTTAGGCTTTAAAAAAATTTTTTTTAATTGTTATTATTATTTGGGGTTTCTTGTGTTTTTTCTTTGCGACTCTCCACACTAAACTCACAATATTGTGGGGAGAAGCTGTGACTAAACTACGCTGCGGTGAGATGTAGCCGTAATCAGCTCCCAGAGACGTGTGTAGCCGGGGCTGCCGCTCGCAATAATCACTATTGATTTAAAGCTTTACTTAGCCTTGATCTGTACCCTTATAGTCAATAAGGTCTTGCCACATTAGTGAGGTGGAGAAATGTATTATTTGTTCGTTGTTTTTGCCCTCCCGCCGCCCTCCAGTATTAAACTGTGAAATTTGTGATTTGTTTAAACTCTGGGTGAATCATAGCCTAGTTTCATGTCCACCTAATTTGTTTCTATACATTTTGTTTGATTCTCTTTCTTCTTCTCTCAGGGCTTTTACAAATGTATATATATATGGATCTTCTGAAGTGCAACTTTTCCTCTTGTTTTTTTTTTTTTTTTTTTTTTTTTTTTTTTTTTTTTTTTTTTTTTTTNTTCATTGATTAATGGACATGATGCTGAGATTCAATCACTACATGAAACACCTGGTTGTGAAAACAAAAGAAAACCCAGAGGGCTGCTTTCCAAGCATCGCTGGGGAAGCGACGTAACAGGCGGATGCCAGTTTCAGAAAGATTCACCATACGTTCTGACCCTCTGTTCGTCTCTTTCCTCTCCTCTTTCTCAGAAGGAAATTGATCCTAGTGATTTTAGCCCGTGCATTAAACAGGAAACAATAATTAGTAGAATTCATATTTTTCTAAAGGGAACTTAAAAACTGCTGCTACGTGTTATGTACAAAACTGGTTTATGCCACATGAACAGAGAATGGCAAGTCTGGTTTTGGGACTTTTTGTTCCTCTTTATATCCAGTTGTATAGAACTTCCAAATGCAGAGTCAGGAGAAAGCTGTTCTGTATCAAACCATCTAAGCAATAAATGTTATATTTTAAAAGTGGCAAAAAAAAATGGTTGGAAGACATTGTCAGTGAACCTTAGAAATGCGGACATTAACTAAGGGAAATTAAAGTTACTCTTGTTATTTATGAAAATAATGCTGGGGTTATGTTGGAAAGTTTGCTGATGTTTGAAGGTCATGCCTATTGAAGTATTTATGATAGAAACTATATAATCTGTAACTCTACAAATTTCCAGCCAAAACAAGCAAGCAAATGAAATAGGGCAAAGTGTTAAAAAAATTTTCTGTTTGAAGATTGTGTGAAACTTTTTTGAAAAGGAAATAAAAGAAAAAATTATATGATTAACAATTTTTAAATGCTTAATTGTCTAATAAAAACTAGGCTTTTTAGGCTAAAATGGCCACTTTTTATATACGTATATATGTATGTGTATATATATATATATATATATAATGTTCATATAAATTCATATATATACTGAATTTTCCTCCAGCAGCATTCCTTTAAAACTCAAAACTGCCAAAAGAAGTCAAGGTACACATCCCTTGGGAATACAGCTGTGACATGTAAATTGTAGAGCAATCAAAACTCTACCTCTCCACCTCTTAGGGTTCCAGCTAGGCCTGAGAATCAAGTTGACATAAAATACATCATCAGGAGAAAAACCACACAAGTTTAATATGTTACATGTGACATTGGAACCGTCATAAGGAGACAACCCAAAGAGGTGGTAGAACTTATGTGCTTTTGTATTAGGCTGAACAAAGAGAGGTAAATGAGGAAAAGTAATTATGTATGCTGGGAAACTAAAGGAAGATAGGTGTTATTTTAACAAGGTCTGTTTTTACAGAATGTTCTGAGGCTATGAATACCCATCAAAGAATGTTCCTTTTCTCCTGGCGGGGGAGTCTTTCATGTGGCAATTCTAATCCTTCTTCCCCAAGAAGAAAAGGAGAGATCAGAATGCCTTTCTTTTATTTTTTTAGAGACAGGATCTCACACTCTTGCCAAGGCTTTGGAGTGCATGACCTGATCATTGTCCACTGTAATCTCGAACTCCTGGGCTCAAGTGATCCTCGTGCCTCAGCCTCTCCCACAGCTGTGACCACAGGCGTGCACTGGAATGCCCTTCTTGTATCTGCAGTTTTGCAAGTGCCTTTAGCATGAAGTAATTGTTATGCCAAAGTGACCTATGTTGGGGTGGCATATCCTGGCACCCTTCAAAATAAAATGGTAGAAAACGGAGCACAGCATTACTGTATAACAATTGTATATATGACCATCGCGTTTACTTCAAGAAAAACAAGACACCTTTTCAAAAATACAGAATACACAAAAATACAACACAAAATAAGAAAAGGGTTATCATGCAAATCATGCATCTCCCAGAGATGAACATAATATTACAGAAGCATCATTTTACTACATTACATATGTTGAGCGTGTTTTTTGGTCAATATTATTTCACAAAATCTATCAATTCTTCTATGAAATGAGATCAAAAAATGAGATCCTATTCACACGGTGGCGGGGGAGGGGAGGATACGGAGGGACAGAATCAACAAGAAGTTAGTGCGATCCATGTGAGCACAGGTGCAAAGCTTCGCTCCTCAGCGACTTTCCTAACCAGCACTGGTCCCTGTCCTCCTGGGGATACGATCCCGAAGCCCCAGAGCCCAGCCTGGGCAGCCTGTGGGTGGGCCTGAGCGGCTGCCGCAGACTCCAGGAGGCTTCCCCCGCGGCGTGCCCCAGGCCCTGGCTTCGGGGTATCTGGTCGAGTCCCCTGCCTCGCTAAACCCCAGTAAGCTGGGTCTACGGGGTGACTCAGCAGCTTGCTCCCAAGACCACCATGAATGAATCTCCATCTACCCTAGCTGGCAACCAGGTCCTCAGTGATGGTCAATTCCCAGGGGTCACAGATTTGTCTTCTTATTTGGACTGAATTTCCTGTCTTTGCAAAAATGGACCCTACTCCCTATCATGAAGGCTTCCTTTGGGAAAGACAAAAATCAAACAAACAAAACCAGAGACATCCAAATCAAGCAACACAAAACACAAGTTGATAGGTTTGACGTATCCTTCTTTTTTTTTTTTATTAAATACAATTTTCTCTGTAAAATTCCTTGAACCTTTAACGCAAAAGCTGACTGTGACAGTAGTGACAGTGCAATAAACTGGCAGCCCAGCCTTAATTCTTTCTTTTATGCAAACAGGATGTACTTCATGTGAAGCTGTGGAAAATCACAAGCAAACTGTACAGGTTGGCATTTCTGATCCCCCTTAAGTTCGGTGTTGAGCAAGGCTGTTAAATAAGGCTTATCGGTCCCCTAGCACTTAAAAGAGTTTATCCTGTTTCTTTTATGTAGGTGCATGTAAACACTTTTGTTTTGGAGATGGAGTTTCATTCTGTCACCCAGGCTGGAGCACAGTGACGCAATCTCGATTCACTGCAGCCTCCACCTCCCAGGTTCAAGTGATTCTCCTGTCTCAGCCTCCCTAGTAGCTGGGATTACAGGTGCACACCACCACACCTGGCTCATTTTTTTGTAGTTCTAGTAGAGACAGAGTTTCGCCATGTTGGCTAGGCTGGCCTTGAACTCCTGACTTCAGGTGGTCTACCCTCCTCAGCCTCCTAAAGTGCTGGGATTACAGGTGTGAGCCACCATGCCCAGCCGAAAACTTTAAATTATCAAGGTATTAGTTCTAACAGGCTTTTTGTGTGTGTGGAATTTTTAGGGTTTTCTACATATGAAATTCTATCATCTGTAAACAGAGATAATTTTACTTTTTTCTTTCCAATTTAGATGCCTTGTTTTTCTTGTCTCATTGCCCTGGCTAAAACTTCCAGGACTATGTTGACTGGAAATGACAGAAGTGAGCATCCTTGTCTTGTTCCTGATCTAGGAGGAAAAGCTTTCAGCCTTTCACCACTGGGCATGGTGTTTGCTGCAGTCTTTTCATACCTGGGTTTTTATCATACAGAGGTAGTTTTGAAGCCTGATCATGTTAAACATCCCTTACTTTTTATTGTGTCCAATTACATAATTATTATTGGTGCTTTCACACTCTCAATAAGCCAGGGTGTATACAAGAGATGCTACTTGTTTACAAACTGTTTTACATCAACATGTTTACAACTTTAAGGTAATTTCCAATTTAAACCTATAGCAGGTACTTACCTTTTATGAACCCGGTAGCTTACATTTGAGTCAGAAGCAGCTTACGTAAACATGTCCACAAGTCTAAGGATAAAATCAAGATGGCTTATTAGTTACTTCTTTTTTCTTACGCAGTGCTGCTGGACAGTAACACACAAAGAGGAAACACCTCAGGGTCAGATATGCATTACATCGTTTGTGTCAGCCGCTGCCCAGCCTCTTCACTGCCTGCAGGATCCACACTCATCCAACTCCCCACTTGCTGGGGAGCCCACAGGCGCTCACTGTCATTCGGTCCCTGCTGCCCTCTGACCCTGGCTCAAAGCATTTCCCAGCAACTCGCTGCACTCCAGGAGGGGTAGGGCCCCCGGGAAGGGGCTGTGTGTTCTCGGGATTCTGTCCTTTCTCATGAGATGCCCTTCTGCCTGGAATCCTTTTCACTCCACCTCTGCCTCTGCTGAGTCCTGCTTGTCCTTTATGATACAGCTTGATTTTCATTCCTCCTTCTCAGATCCCATTCTTCCTCTACCATTCTGCCTAGGATGCTCCAAATATGTGGTTGCGTATATCATAAGTCCTTAAAATGTAGTGCGAGAGTCTGCTGTGTGCACTGCTCTGAATAAGCCTTGAGCTCCTGGGGGCAGGACAGTATTTTTCATCACTGTCCCCCAGGGAGCCTGGGTATGGCAGGTGGCTGGCTCCCTGGGGGACAGAGATGCTCAGCAATCTTCTCTTACAGGCGAAATGAGTTGAATTTGAATTTCATTTAGCTACCTACCACTCACATAGCCATCATTTAATATTTATTAAGCTTCATTAAATACAGGTAACGTGTGAAGGACAAGAGATGCAGAAATACCAAGGCAAAGACACCGAGGTGGCCTTAATTAATTGCTGGAGTAGAGGTAAGGACAAGATGCAAAGTCAGTGCAGGAAGCAATTACTTTTTACTGACAAGACATTGAGGGGACGTTTGATTTGGGCCTTAAGAGATGATCAGAATTTCATTATTCTGGAGTCCATTGAAGCATTCAAGGCCACAGAAATGAAGGGCAGAAATACATTAACTTAAACTGTCATAAAAGAAACATGTGCTCTTTTTAAAAATTAAAACAACACAAAAGAATTTGAAGTCATGACTCCATAATCCCACACCTCAGAGTGGGATTCTAACATTTTTCTGTATTGATATATGTGTGTATTATCTACACATATATATGTTTATGATTAGATACAGCTTTTGTTTTTATAAAATTAGGTCGTACTACACGTACTTTCTGCAACTTGGATTGTGGCTCATGCCATAGACAGCCTTCTATGTTGCTACATTCAAATTGATAAACCTGTAAGCATTATTCCAGAATAGCTGGATGTCCAAGAAATAAATATGCCTTTTCACAGAATGATCAAAAGAAATGGAATTGATGATTTTCTTGCTCCATTTATACACACAGGCACATGCAGGCACCTGTGAAAAGGAACCACCCATCCTTTCCATTCAGGACTGGAAACGAACAGTGTCAGGTCCACCCAAGGAAGCAGCTCTTTTACCTCTTTTCCTTCTAAATCTGCTTCAAGTAGAGCTTTGTTGAGAAAACAACCAAGCAACCAACCAATCAACCAGCCAACCTGAATCCAACCTCGATGTGTGCATTTATATACAAAGCAGCAGCTGCTGCACACGAGTTCTCATGAAAGTTCCCCGAATATTGGTCCATGAGAAAATATCTGGATTTGATGGTATCAAGAGTGCTTTTGTTGGTAGTGTACAAAATTTAAAAAGGATTTTTACCTCTTAAGGACATATTAATACTTTCCTATAACAAACAGGTAGAAACTGACTAAAAGCACACGACAGCTACTGAACGAGGTCTGTGCTGGTTGGAGCTCTGGCCTGCGGTCTGCCCTGGCCTCTGACACTGCTGCATGATCTTGGACCAGTTCCCTTCCCTGGTTCAGATTCCTCTTTTGAGGAAGGAGACCCAGGCATCTGGGATTCCCTCCCCCTCTGTCATCTACTGTGCATCTCAATAGAAGAGAGGCCAGCTCAACAGAAGCAGGCCAGCTGGCGCCTCCTGAATCTCCTTCCTGAAAATAGCATGCTTGGTCTTGGGGAAACTCTCTGGAAGACACTATTTTACTTAAAACAAGATCAAACCAGAAACCTTTTCACATGTGAGTCCTAAAACTGTAAACCGGAACCCTTTCATATGTGATTCCTAAAGCTATAAACTTAAGATTCTTCCATGTGTGACATCTAAAGTATAAGCCTATATAAAGGCAGAACCTTCCTTTATTAAATGAGCTGGGCTTTTGACAAATTACCGCCTGGTCTCCTGGCCAGATAAACTCTTCCCTCCTTTATTTGGTGTTCGAGAGATCTGTTTCCCACGGCCGCTCCTGCTACACTTTGAGGAAGACCTGCCCAGTGATTACTAAAGCTTCCTGCAGTTCTAACATTCCTATCCGTTTGCCATCTTGATGCCAGGCTGCAAATCGACCCCAGAATTGCTTCTCAGACATGGATGTTACTGCCCATTTCTCTGTGGAAGGAATGTGCAGTGAGAACAACAGTAGCAATGACGAAAAGGACAGGACATGAAGTGCTCGATCCATGCCTGGTGTAAGTTACTGGATCAGAGCAAGATTCTACTTACAAGGCTGACAGAGCTCGTCCTCTGGGCTGATTACATGATATCTATCATTTAGAAAACCTTGGGGAGGGCATCTGTTAATTCAAGAAGAGAGAAGAGAACACTAATAAAAAAGCCTGTTGGATCCCTCCAGAGTGTCTGCCCTAGAGAGGATGCCCCACTCAGCTCTCTAGGCAGCCTCCTGCTTCCCCCACATTCACAGGGGGTGTCTCTGCTTCCCTGGACCTGTCCTTCAAAGTTGAGAGAGAAGGCTTAACTTCCCCTTCCCACAACGTCTCACAAACCCCAGGAGCAGAGCCGGGTTCAAAAGCAGTCCTTAGAAGTAAGAACTGCCCCTGAATATTTCCTCTGAAATTCTTCACCTTGTCATTGTACCTAAACGTCTGTTTGGAGAGTCTGTTTCCCCAGCGCAGTTTATCTGAAGCCAGGAGCCACCTCCACTTGGATGCGGTTAGCAGCTTTCCTCTGAACCCTTCATCAAGGTTGGGTGCCGTGGGTGTGGGGAAGGCAGAAGACAGACGGCTGACCTGTGGGTAACTAAGGGGGCAAACGTAGGAGGGGTCTGAGAGACCTGCTCTGGGGGGCCTGTAGGTGGAGGCATCCGCTTGCGATAAGAAAGATCAACTTGGTTTATTTAGACATTTTGATCGTTGTTAGTCCCAGGGTTTGTAGCCCTAGCAAAATAACTAGCAACCATGAAAGGACGTGAAACATATGAAAAAACAGACAAAACGATTTAAGATCAGTCAGTTCTAGAGCCGATTTTGACAAGAAATATTTCATCACACTCTCAGGTTCGCACCTGGCATTTGTAATTCAGCCACTAGGTGTCAGCAGAGCACCGTGTGCAAATGTGTGCAGGGTTGTGCCAATGTATTTTATTTTGAAAAGCGGGCTAGGAAGGTTTTGTGATTTCTGCTTCTCATAACATTTTATTCTACGTGTGTTAATAATTTCAGTATTGCCTTTTCCTTTGGTTTTTTTTTTAACTTGTTCCCTTTTATGGGTGAGAGTATCATGTGAAAACCGGTTGAAAGATTTTTGACAAAGCTCCCTTCTCCGGATCCACCCTCCCGTCAGCTCCGACCTGAGGCTGTCATTGATGCAGGCGGGCACCCTGGCCAGACCCTCATAGCTCTTCTCCCAGAAAAGAGTTTTTTCTTTGCTTAAGATAATTCCCTCCAAAATTTTAACATGAATTTGAAAGGGAAAAACTCAATACCCGGTAAGTATAAGCAGATGAGAAAGAAAATCAAATGTATTCAGTTGACACAGTGTCTAAATTACTTGCCTACGAAACATTTATTCACTCAACAAGTATGGATCAAGGTCTATTTTGGGCAACTGGGATTAAAAGAAATCACAGGCCAGGTGCGGTGGCTCACGCCTGTAATCCCAGCACTTTGGGAGGCTGAGGCAGGCGGGTGGATTACCTGAGGTCAGGAGTTCGAAACCAGCCTGACCAACATGGTGAAACCCCATCTCTACTAAAAATACAAAAATTAGCTGGACGTGGTGGTGTGCTCCTCTAATCCTAGCTACTCAGGAGGCTGAGGCAGGAGAATCACTTGAACCCAGGAGGCAGAAGTTGCAGTGAGCCGAGATCATGCCATCATATTCCAGCCTGGGTGACAGAGTGAGACTCAATTTCAAAACAAAAAAGAAAGAGAAATCACAATAGACCTAGCATGAATTGGAAATCAGAGTTAATAAAAACCTTTAAAAATTTTTTAAAAACAGCTTCATTGAAATGAAATTTCTTCACCCTAAAATTTACCCATTTGAAGTCTATAATTAAAACATCACCACAACACAATTACAGAACATCTTAATGACCACCCAAAGATCCCTTATGCCTATTTGCATCCCACTACTTTTAAAATTCCATTGTTACAGGAAGAAGCACTTGCTGAGAGTTATTTAATATTTAATCTGTTCAGTGGAAAAACATGTTTTTCTTCCCTTTGGGAGTGTGTCTCCAAATTACCTATTCAAATTTTGCTCCCAGCCTTTCATCACAGCCTTTCATCTGTAATCAGCAGATTCCCCTTGTTGTCCCCACAGCATCGTAGGTTAACTCCCTGTTCTGGGTCTTTGCTCACACCGGTCCCCTTGCCTAGCGCCCTCTGTGGCCTGCTTCACTTACCCAGATCTTTCCATTGTACGCTGCAGGTGAGACTGCATCAAGTTTCTGAAGCCTCCCTCGCTCAGCCGGTGCCTAGCCCTCCTCACTTCATAGCTTCTGGTTGGTAGAATCTGTTTGGTAGAACCTGAGCATATTTCATTTCTCTGCAATAGAGCATTGAATGTTTTGATGCTGAGCTGACTGGGTACACTCTCTCTTTAGCATTTCTGAACTCCTGGGGCTCAGTTCAAGAAACCGGAGCTGATGGACCAACTGACGGCAAAACAGCGGAAGGAAAACGGGATCACGGGGGACGAACTTGACACCAGTGACTTGTGGTCAAGATAAGTTCAAAATTAGAGGGGCAAATCCATCTGTGTGTCCAGTGATGTGGAATAGAAAGGAGAGGGGAGGGAAGTGAAACGTGTTGAGGGGCTAGTTGCCAAGTTATTTTTCCACACAATATTTTGGTAATTCTAGCAAATTTGCAGATGAGGTAACCGAGGCTCAGAGAAGTTAAGAAACATGACCAAGAAGGTAGAACTATAAGTCAGAATCCAAACCGAGTTCTCTCTGAATACAGAGGCCTGGCGATTTCCATACACACCATGTCTCACGAATGCCTTTCCCTCAGTGACATTGTTTCAGTTTCCCAAATCACAGAAAGTCCCTCTAGAGTTACCTTGCACTCTGCTGCAGTAGAAAGGCATGGGGGGAATGAGAATAGTAAATAACCATCACACAAAGAAATTGAGGTCATTACCATAAGTGATGTCTAAGTGCTGTAGGGACTCAAGGGAGGTAAAATCATCTCCCACTGGGAGAAGAAGAACAGCTTCAAGGAAAGTGCATTTGAAATAAACCTGGGAGACTGGAAAGACAGTCCAAGCTGAGGAAACAACATGTACAAAGTGACCGTGCAGAAAGAGCTAACAAAGCAGGGTGGAGACCGCTTTCCTCGGAAGGGTTGATTGCAAGGTCGGCGTTTGGTTGGTGTCAGAGACCTGAGTGGGTAAGCAGTTCCCTATCTGAGTGGGAAACTTTCCCTAAATGAGAGGAATGGCTCCTGTGTCTGGGCTGCTTGCACAAGCAATCTGGTTTCTACTGACTACATGCCTTCTTTCTGGAAATCTAGCATTTTGGCACTTGCTAGGCAGAAAGCGCTTATACGGCCAGCTTCCAATACAAAGATGTTGGATCTCTAATGAACTTTCTTGGCAAACAACACTCCAGACATGTCGGCACACTTGTTGCTGGAAGGGTTAAGTGGATCCTATGTATCTTATGTAATATACTGGGCTGTGACTCTTGGAAATTCAGATTTCCTCCAGAATTTACTTCATGTACGTTTTCTCTTTGCTGATTTTGCTTTGCATCCTTTGCTGCAATAAATTTTTTCCTTTTTAAAAAAATTGTGCTTTAAGTTCTAGGGTACACGTGCAGAATGCGCAGGTTTGTTCCATAGGTATACACGTGCTTGGTGGGTTGCTGCACCCATCCCCCGTCATGTCACCTACATTAGGTATTTCTCCTAATGTTATCCCTCCCAAAGAGCCCTCCTTGGTCCTCTTGACTTACCCAGATCTTTCCATTGTAGGCTGCAGGTGAGACTGCATCATCTTTCTGAAGCCTCCCTGGCTCTGCGGGTGCCCAGCCCTCCTCACTTCATAGCGTCCGGTTGCTAGAATCTGTTTTGCAGAACAGTGGTATATTCATATTTAACTTTTAACCATCTACTCAGAGTGAGTATTTTACTACTTCAAGTTGAGTGAAGAAGCCTTACCAATATAATTCCTTTTATCCTCCCACATTAATTTTATCTATAACTGTTTTATATATTATATCAACATACATGGAAAACTCTATCAGACAATGTTACATTTTTTCCAACCATCATACATACTTTAAAAAACTTAGGAGAAGAATAGTAGTGTATTGAATGTACCAAGATTTTTACAATTTCTGTTTTTATTCCTTCACACCTGATTATCTAAGTTTCCCTCTGATAATGATTTCCTTTCTACTTGTAGAATTTCTTTTAGCGCGTATTCTTTTGATTAACTCATTCATCTGAAAATATATTTAGTTCACCTCATTACTGAAATATTTTCACTGGATATAAATCCTGAGTTGACAGGCCTTTTAACACATCAATATTGTGCCTTTTTCTTCTGATATCCATGATCTCTAAAGAGAAATTCAGTCATTCAAGTCATTATTTCCTTGTATAAAATGTCATCATTCTCTGACTCTTTTAAGAAAATTGTGTTGGTTTTAGTTTTCAAAAGTTATTTTATGATGTGCCTAAACAATTTTTTTGAGTTTATCTTGTCTGGTGTTTGCTGAGATTACTGAATCTATAAGCTTATATTTTTTGCTGAATTTGAAAGATTTTAGTAATTATTTTTTCTACACACACACACGGTCATGTGCCACATAATGACATTTCAGTCAATGATGACCTGCATATATGATGGTGGTCCCATAAGATTATAAAGAACTGAAAAATTCTTGTTGCCTATTTATGTCACAATTGTGACAATGTTGCGCAATACAATCCTTAAGTGTTTGTGGGGATACTTATGTAAACAAACCTACTGCACTGCCCATCATGTAAAAGTATAGCACATGTAATTATGTACAGTATATAATACTTGATATGGTAATAAATGACTATGTTACTGGTTTATGTACTCACTATATCACACTTTTTGTTGTTATTTTAAGCTATACTCTTTTTACGTATTAAAAAAGTTAACTGTAAAACAGCCTCGGCCAGGTCCTTGGGAGTATTTCAGAAGAGGGCGTTATTATACAGAAGATGACAGCCCCCTGTGTGTTATTGCCTTTGAAGACCTTCCACTGGGACAAAACCAGTGACGCTGATGATCCTGACCCTATGTAGGCCTAGGCCGATGTGAATGTTTGTGTCTTAGTTTTTAATAAAAAAAATTTTTAAGTAAAAAACAGTTAAAAATTTTAAAATAGGAAAGGGCAAAAAAATAAGGATATAAAGAAAGAAAATATGTTTGTACAAGTGAATAGTGTGTGTTTGAGCTATTACAAGAGTCAAAAAGCTTTAAAGAATTAAAAAGTTTATAAAATAAAAAAGCTATGGTAAGCTGATTAGTTTATTATCAAAGAAAAAATTCAATAAAATGAATTCAGTGTAGTCTAAGAGTACTGTGTTTATAAAGTGGGCAGTAGTGTACATTAGTGTCCTAGGCCTTCATATTCACCATTCACACACTGACTCACCCAGAGCACCTTCCAGTCCTGCAAGGCATACACGTGGCATGATGGTTTGCTGCACCTATCAACCCATCCCCTAGGTTTTAAGGCCCACATGCATTAGGTATTTGTCCTAATGCTCTTCCTCCTCTTTCCCCCACCCCCTCAGCAGGCCCCAGTGTGTGACGTTCCCAGGAGTGGGTCTTTATATTAACGAGTCTCTAAGGGGTGAGAGGAGAAAGAAAACAGACTGGGCTAGCACTCCGCTGAGTTCCGCTGCACGGGGTGCCTAACGTCGTGCTGTTTGCTGCTGTCTCCCCTGCTCCTGGGGAACCTGGTAGCTGTGGAAAGCCAGCTGTCTCTTGTGGCCCAGGAAACTCCTGTTAAAAAAGTGAACAAGAAAGTGAACATAACTTCAGAGCAGCGGCGTCAGGCCCTGTGAGGCATGCTTGGATCTTGACACAAAAATCCCTCTTTGACTAGATCTGGCTTTAGTATGGATCTTTCACTTTAGCCCAAAGCGCCTCCTTGAACCCTCAAATGTATTCTGAGCTGAGCATGATGGTGATTTGGGGTCAATTGACCTTCCTCATGATCTCCCCCAGGGGGACTTTCTCTCTCAGAGCTCAGACCTTGCACATGGCCCCTATGACCCACCTCCTGAAACTGGAGGCTCTGGGAAACGGCTGATGTGCTTCGGGACAGAGCAGGCACCGTCCGCCACCGCTGTGCTAACCGTGGAAATAAAGTGTGGATAGGGTATAGCTCAAGGGTTACGTGCAATTTTATCAGAAAGGAAATGCAATTTATTCTGACACTGAAAAATGAATTAGGTCCTCATGCTTCTTTTCTTTTTCTTTCTTTCTTTTTTTTTTTTTCCAGGCAAGATCTCACTCTGTCATCCAGGCTGTAGTGCAGTGGCACCATCATGGCTCACTGCAGCCTCGACCTCCCGGGCTCAAGCGATCCTCCTGTCTCTCGTGTTTCTTAAGTCTGATTGACAGGGGGACAAAAGCACACATACCTGGCACCTCTCCTCGGAGGACTGGCCACAGTCATTTTTCGAAAGTTGGGGAGGCGTACACTAGATGGTGCTGTTGGCTTGTGTTATAGAACTCACACGGCAAGGGCTGGAGAACTGAATTTCACATTTGAGAAATGGAAAAGGAGGAAATAAAAACGTGGAATGTCCTAAACTTTCTGAAAATCCAAAAAGGGCCCAAGGGAAGCTAGTTCAATTATTCCTACTATGATGAATTGTGTGATAGTCAAACATGTGCACTCTGGCGGGTTTTCCTAGCCTGGGCTGCCCAGGAGATGGCAGCTGTTCTAGGACTGGAGCGTGGACCCCTTCCCTGTGGTAAGCTGGGGTCCCTCTTAGGAATGACCAACAGCCCAGAGAGGAGGAGGGCCTTGTTAATGCAGTGGTGAGTGGGGGCTTGCAGAAAACTGCCACCTTCGGTGCTCTGATGTCTGAATGCCACTCTTGTCACCTCGAGATTAAAATTTAGAGACAGACTGTCCTGTGTGGCCTATTGTTGACACGGGGCCTCTGAAAGGAACACAGAGACTACCCACATTCACCCTGCTGTGGCTACTGGCCGCCCTGGCCGGCTTTGGTTCCCTGCGAGTTGGCCATTCTGATTGCCACATCCCATCCTTTCTCAGACACATCTATTTTTCTCACACCTGGGAATTACATCTGCTGGCAGTCTTCGGAAGTTTCCAGAGAGTTAGCAGCTTGGGGCTCATTCGTTTCTGCTCATTTCTATTTAGCTTTTGAGAGGTGCTGTGGTCTATCCAGGCAAGACATGATCATAGCTCATCAAAGAGAGGTTGTTTTTGGGAAGCGGAGCAGCTGATTCCGCTGATTCCGGAGCTGAGGTAGCTGCTGCCGCCGCCACTGCAGCGACCTGAGGAGTGGGCTTGGGAAGGTGGTGGCCACCATGCCCAGAGCTGTGCTCGGAAGTGCCAATGGATAAAAGTGCAATGGTACAGAAAGCCAAGCCTGCTGAGCAGGCTGAGCGCGGCGATGATGTGGCCGCAGCCTGAGAAGGCAGCCGCACGACAGGGGCACGCACTCCCTGCTGAAGACGGCCATGTGCCCTCTGCCGCCTGCAGGAACACGGTGGGTGCCTGCTGTTCTATCTGGCTGGTCATCTCCAGCGCTGAGCAGAGAACAGGGAGGAAAGGGAAGCAGCTGATGGGCAAAGAGCACTGTGGGGGACAACGGCAGAACTGCTGGACATCTGCAATGAGGTTCCAGGGCTGTTGGAGAAACCTCTGATTCCCCAGGTGACACAATCTGAAAGCAAGGCGTTCTGCTTGAAAATGAGAGGAGATCGTGCCAGGTGTCTTTCTGGGGTAGTGTGTGGAGACAATAAACGAGCCACTGTGTTGAACTCCCAGCAGGCTTACCAGGAAGCACCTGAAATCGGTAAGAAAGATGAGCAGCCTGCACTCCCAATTCGACTGGGCCTGGCACTTAATTTCTCAGTCTTTTGTTATGAGATGCTAAATTCTCCTGAAAAGGCCTGCAGCCTGGCAAATGCGGCATTTGGTGAAGCAATTGCTGAACTGGATACACTGCACAAAGGGTCTTATAAAGACAGTGCTCCTACCATGCAGTGAGTTCGGGACAATCTCACTCTGTGGACATCGGGAAACCAGGGAGACTCGGGAGATACTGGGGAGGGAGAGAACTGCCTCTGTCATGCCCTGTGATCTGTTGTTCAGTGTCACCTTGTCCCACCCACATACATCCCTTTGTGAGATTAAAACAAAAGAATTGTGCATCGACTTGCAATTTTTCATAGCCTCAGCCTAGCAAAAATGGTTCATGGGATAAACAGCTGGCATTTGTATCTAAAACCCAGACTGGTTGCAGAAATGGCACGGCATTCCGAAGTTTTGGCTCTGATTAACATTGGCAAGATTACTGTGTGTTTAGTTTTCTTAAAGCTGAACGCTGTGATGATGGGTTTTATAATTCAGCAGAACTCTTACTGACAGGGAAAATAGACCCGAATGTTGTGTAACTCTTTGGAATGTTTAATCCAATATCAAAATAGTCACTGAAATACAATTCCATTGTAAAGTTGTACAGAAAGTTAGAGAGATTATGTTGTGTGATGCTGGGATGTGGAGTGAGACACCGTCGTTTGGCATCCGAGTTTAATGGTAATTCACAGTGATGCTGCCTGCTCAGAGTTATAGACACTGGAGCTGTTTGGGCTGTTGGTGCTCAAAAGTTCATGACCACAAATGTCCACAGCACCCTCCTCGGAGGAAACTCAAATCCTGAAGTTGAAATTCTTTGTGACAGATAATTTGCTTGCGACACTGTGAAAAGCTCTGGTGCTCATATGACACACCTGACTGAACCCCCTTTCCTGCCGCGCTATGTTACTGATTTGCAGCTTGTGCT